TGGCGACCGATGGGGCTCAAAGGTTCTGGAATGGAGACGTCCACCAATAAGCTGAACAGATAACTTCACGAGGCCGTAGATTCGTAAGTTTTTTCAAGAAAGCTATTATTGGTCCTGTTGGTCGGGCCTGTTGGTCTAGTGGTTAGTGACCCTGACTGCTAAACCGGAGGTCGTGGGTTCGATTCCCACCCAGAACAAATATTGAGTGGTGAGCACAGTCATTTGTTCAGTGTCTGGGTATAATTTATCTATAATATGTATCTACTTAAAATATACAAGTATGTTTATCAGCAGTCTGGTTACCATAGTACAGGTTCTGTCTAGTTTGGGATCAGATGGCCGTGTGAGATGTGTTTTGTGAGAATGTGGTAGAATATTATTATTATTACAGGTTCTGGAATAGAGACGTCAACCAATAAGCTGGACAGATAACTTCACGAAGGTCGTAGATTCGTAGGTTTTCCTAGAAAGCTATTGAGACAGGCCTATGTCCAGTCTTTCAGACTTTAGATTTTATTCCTTCTACTTACAATGTCATACCTATCATATTGTCAAATATACTGGCTCAATTGGGAGCACCTTAAAGCTTTGTTTCATTTACTTGCAAAACATAAGGTATAAAACATAAGGTTTAAATGGCTGTTTCGATGTGTACTTCTCTCAGACTACTCGCACATAAAAAACGTATGTTAATTTGAGCATGAAATCTTACGCGTTCCTTAGCAAAAGGTCCTGTCAGGTAGTCTGGCAAACAAAAACGAACTGACATACCTGTCAGAACAGAAGCCAGAACAGTCCACTTTTCGTCACATGTCACAATTTAATCCAATATTCCTTCATTTCTGTACCGAAATAAAAAAGTAAGTTTCAACACGCATTTCTTTCTACAGATCAGTCAAATCATAAGGCATCCATTTTGCATATTTTTTATTTTATTGATTTGATGCAAATGATTCAATATTGTTGGTAGGGTAACATTAAATCATGCCGATAATTCTAGGTAATTTGACTCGGTTCGGCTTCCACCATCTCCTTCAATTCTGCGTTATTTCCCTGTGTCGAAGTTTCCATTATGAAAGCGTTTAAACCAAACACGCAAGGTGCATTCATTAGCAGTCTCCCTTTTAAACGCAGCGTTGGTATTACAAGCCGTTTCTGCCGCGTTAGTTTCGCGTCGGAACTCGTATCAAAAATGACTCGGTTTTTCGAAGTATCCATCTTTCCCGTCTAAGGTGAATAAAAACAACAATTGATAGTTGAAAATAGAATGTTACACATTTTTTTAAAGAAGAACCTCATAGGTATCATGTGAAAAAAGTTTCACACGAATATCTCACACCATGAAGATTTTATGTCAATTCAAAGTATCTATTACTATATAACGGCAATTTCATACTTTAACCCCGTATTAATATGACTTGTTTCTAATTGTACTGCTAGTCGTTAAATGAGGATGTTCTGTGGGATGTGTCAAGTTATTAATTTTATTATAACTTCTTTTTCTTTGTTATATATCTAAATGAAGGATTTAAAAAAGGATTCGATTAAAATATACTTGAACAATTTATTATTACTCCTGTAAATAACTAATAGTTGAAGCAAATCAAACAAGTATTGTAAGGATATCATAAGCATAAATGTAAGTTTTTTTACACTGTTTTTTGTACATATACATAAGTAAACATTTTTCTCGAGTTGCGTCATAATTATATAAGAAATAGACTGTAATACACCTATGTATAATATGCAGGGTGTCCTTGAACATTAGCTTTGAACACTTAGGTATAGTAAGTGTTTTTGGCATTCAATGTTAAACAGAATTTAGAAAAAAAAGCAGTGGCACTCCGGTAGAGCCGACAGAAGTGAAAACTTGAATTTTTGTTTTTTTTCAGCATACCAGGTTACTTTTGTTTTTTTTTTCGATTCGAAAAGTGGGGACATATCTATGTTGTACGTATATACACAATATATTCATCTATATTTATATATATATATATATATAAGAGATTTCTACGTATATAGTCACTCATCACGATATCTCTGGAACCATTAGAGATAAAGACTTGAAATTTGGTAGGAATATTCTTTTCACCGAGTAGAGGTCGGCTAAGAACGGATTTTAAGAAATTAAAAAAAAATATGTAAATAGCAAAACAACGTTTGCAGGGTCAGCTAGTATTATATATACATATTTATATTATCAATGTTTCAACCCAAACTCAACTCTCGTGTAAACTTGGCCAATATATGTAGATACTTATAGAGAGAGGTGTCGGTAACGGTAACAGTGTCGCGAGTTCAATGGTTTTTCCCATCTCAAAAATGTGTGTTTTTTGATAAACCATAAAATGCATTCTTTTTTTTGTTCGAAAATGCCCAACACGCCTAAAGAAGTTTTCACTTAAAAAAAACTATCCTTTGAAAAGTTATGACCGTTTCAATTTTCAGATTTTATCTCTCTTGTCTTTCATATAAAAATACTTGCTCTCACTGACTAATTCATCCCCGCTGAGCCTAAACCGCTGGGGCTATAAGCTTGACATTTTGGTAGCTGATGCTTTACATGTTGTAAGGGTAAAATAAAGGATAAACGGTTCTTTCTTTTTTAAAAAGACAACTCCCGCATTAGGAATATATCCTGTGTCGCGGGGGACTTTACAAACATACATGAAACGGACACAAAGAACACCCAGACTCAGAGCAACAATTTGTGGATCACACAAAGTGACGTCCCATGTGGGGTTTGAACCCACAATACACTGCGCAGTAGGAAGCGGCGTGGCGACCGCTTAAACGACTACGCTATCCATGCAGTCTATGTCTATGTCTTGTATGAAAGTTCGTCATTTTAAAAGTTAGAAACAGGAAATAAGGGGTAATTACGTAAGCGAAGCAGCAGACCACATCTATAACGCGATGGACCCGGCATCCGCAAGGTAAATTCATAGGACGCTAAGAAAGAGCTCTATTTTCTCATCACAGAACAAATCTGTGCAATAGGTGTAAAGTTAAACATTTAAAATTGAACTAAATTCTTAGTTTTAAAATTATCAATCAATTATTGAGAAAAAAAACAATTTCAAAAACATTGCATAATTTCCAAGGTAGTTTTTACGGATGTATATTATGTTGTATACAATAATATAAAATTGTATACAATAATAAATATAACTATGCGGGATTGAATATATTTGATGTAGCTCGTTCCATCTGCGTTAATGAAAAATTGAGCTGAAAAAACTTTTTTTTTTTGGAAAATCCCTTCGGATTCCAGCTCTTTCCGGGATATAGGAGCCAGGAGTATGTGGTGTTTCCATCATAAAAACCAACCCGATGGCCAGCCTTAGGCGCCCTGCTCTAGGGAGAACCCGGGAGAACCCATGTAATTTCAGGTCCCCTCATGATCAACGCCGCACCTAACTAGGCGGTCCTATCTCAGGGAAAGAAAGTGGCTCCTCCCTGCCTATCAGCCTATCCAGATGTTGCAGCCCCATTAAATTTTTAGTGCGATCAGGCCGCCATCCTATCGCCTACCGCAGCAATTAATCTGCTACCACTTTCTGGCTGCCGGCGGTCCCGTCGGCTGCTCATTCCTTCGCTCGCTTAGGCCCTCTCCCGATCCCGTTCTGCAATGATTGCAGGCGGGGAGAGCTGAAAATGCATAGAAATTAAAACGGTTCTAACCATTAAACGGCTATTTTTCTTTTAAATTTTTACATGTTTACAATATATATACAAAGCTTTTTCGTAAATAAAAGATACTTATACAACGTCAATAAGATTTCACCATTATCTGGACTATTTTACATTAATCAAATTGCAAAAGATAATTCGGTTTGAGACAAATCTGATTTATTCGATTTAATGAAAAAAATAAAACACCTTGCTTTCAGGTTGATTTTCTTTCTACTTTGTATTACACACACTTATTATTAGACACAAGCACTTTAGTATAACCGTAGACTTTAAAGGTCTAAAAGTTCTCAAAAGAACCGGCAAACACCTATCTACCAGATGCACAGAGGACTTCATAAAGATCCGCTCCCGTCCTTCTTTGAAGTCTTTAAGAAGTCACGTCCAGCAGAGGTCGTCCTTTCATTAAAATGTTGATTGTTCATCACCATATAATGACATAGTGTGGAACGAATACTTCGGGTTACAAAGTGGTGTACGTTTACACGTAAAACTATGAAAGTCAAACACGGATTATTAAAATTTCAATCTTCTCAAAGCTTGGGTACAATGCTCTCCTTGCGTAATAGCTTAGTTAAACCTTTTATGTGACTCAATACCTTTATAATGTGTTCAATTCACTTCTGTATAACTTTTTCTTGTTACACACTTCTCCAAAAACTACTCAGTTTAGTCCATGGTATTGAGGTGCACGCGTACCCCGTAATATTTTAGTCAGTTTCAATACAATTATCTCCAATTCTTACAAATTTTGACGGACATTCTTTGCCAGCAAATGCCACTCGATTGCCCGTGGTGTTTGATTTCATTTTAACTTCTACCGGGATGGGTTCCACGCCAAATATTTCATATATCTCCTCAATCGTACAAGGCTTGTTGGTGATATCAGTCCCTCGGCGTTCAGACCAGACATTTTTCATTATGCAATTTCAATTAATCGTGTAGTACTAGTAGAACTCACGGTGCCGTGGGAAACAAACATCAATAAAGACCAAGCTTTAAAAAGAAACAAATACTTTGACTTGACCAACGAAGTAATGTATGCTGTGGAAGTAGGTACGACGGGTATACCAGATAAATTCCTCTAAAACCTACTTAAACACCTTGGATTGCCAAGAGCTTTAGTAAGCTCTTTTCTACAAATATCCAAATCTGCATTGTAGGTAGAGGGGGTACAGCAGACAGTGGAGGAGAGCGCTGACGCGTCGCAAGGAGTACTCCCTAAACCTATACCTGGGTCGCAAGCTGTCGCAAAAACTACTCAGTTTAGTCCATGGTATTGAGGTGCACGCGTACCCCGTAATATTTTAGTCAGTTTCAATACAATTATCTCCAATTCTTACAAATTTTGACGGACATTCTTTGCCAGCAAATGCCACTCGATTGCCCGTGGTGTTTGATTTCATTTTAACTTCTACCGGGATGGGTTCCACGCCAAATATTTCATATATCTCCTCAATCGTACAAGACTTGTTGGTGCAACTTCTTGGTGTTACTTTCACTTTTGGTGTTTCATCAGCGAATATCGTTCCGAGTAAGTCTTCTGCTGGTATGTAAGAGCTCGGTATAGTCTTTGATTTCACTAAGATTGTAGCCACTGTAAGTAATGTTACTACGATAACGGTATTCATTATTAAAATTGAGATTCTGACACGATATTGAGGAAAGGAATTCGGTGCAAGCACCGGTTGCGTTCACGGTCAGCTGCTGACTGATACTTAAAATATACCTTAACTACGTATATTTTAAGTTATGATTAAGTAGTAAGTTAATATTTGATCATGTTCAAAGTTACAGACGTTTTTTTGTACGGAAACCAAGGCATTAATAACTCTTACAAGCGAACTGGAGGCAGGTTTATTTATGTTTAGAATCAATGTTGTTTGTCTGTCGTTCTAGTGGTTAGTGGTTCTCACTGGTTCGATTTAGAGTCAGAAAAAACAGGCAGATGATTATGTGATCTTTGTACTCCGTCTGGTGTGGCCTGCAGCACTTAATTACAGCAGCAAGACGATGATTCGCACGCCTTTATTAGCGCTTACAGACACGACTCACTGGATCACGGGGCGTGGGGTAGCCGCCTATCAAATAACAATGTATGCGTGTTGTTATACCATAGCATAGAGTGTGTCTAATTGAGATCACATCTGCTAGCGTCCATTAGTTTTATAATAATAACAACTACTTAAGATCACGTCTCAACTGGCTGTTTCTGGTATACGATATAAACCAGAATCACTTAAGAACACTGGACTTGAAAGTCACTAAGACATTGAAGTCGTGACTCGGGCTAGGAACATCTGCAGACCCGTCAACGTTTTACAGGGGCTCGAATAACTTTGGAAAGACCTTGAGGACTCTACAGACACCTAAGAGTTAGCAAAATGTATGTCTTGTCAAAATCACATGACGAAGTCGTTAGATCCCTTCCAAAAGACAAAAAATCATGAGAGCTCTAGCCCGAGCTCCAACTACACAATAAATTCATGGTGGGTACGCAATCCAGTAGGGTTGGATTGGGAAATGCTAGAAGACAGACCGACAAAGAGATACTAAAATCAGGTTCACGCAATGAACCTAGAAATGCAGAATGAATGTCTAACTCTAGGAGAATTTTATACCCCACCAGCTTTGAAATGGCGCACACTTTTATACGATTGGTCACCTGCCCTGTTAAAATTTTAATTGGCTTGAATTGAATTTTAATTGATTTGAATTGCCTTTCAATTGACTCCCCGATCAAAGCAACCTAGTAAGGTGGAGAAAAGCTACAGAAAAGGCTTGTACGATGTGCAGTGCGGCAATAGGTACAACCAGGCACTTACTGACGGGTTGTAAGGTGCTATTAGACCGGGGTCATTATTCAATTCGCCATGATAGGGTATTATAAATCATAAGCAAAGCTATAGGTTTATCGCTGGCGAGAAGGAAAAAAGGAATAGCAACAAACATAAGAACCAACATCGCGTTAACGAAGGCTCAACAAAAAATACTTCACAAAAGCTGTACTCAATTATGAATACCGCCAGTGACTGCATATTATTAGTGGACACGTATGAATGTCATTAGAATAAGCTCTAAGCTTAAGCTCTTTTCGAGAAACCCAAAATCGATCCAAGTGGCGTGCAATGGGAGAAGCCTATGTCCAGCAGTGGACTGCGATAGGCTGATGATGATGATGAAAGTCATTACAGAATACTGAGGGATATCAGTCCCTCGGCGTTCAGACCAGACATATTTCTTTATGCAATTTCAATTAATCGTGTAGTACTAGTAGAACTCACGGTGCCGTGGGAAATAAACATCCCTAAAGACCAAGCTTTAAAAGGAAACAAGTACTTTGATTTAACCAACGAAATAATGTATGCTGTGGAAGTAGGTACGACGGGTATACCAGATAAATTCCTCTAAAACCTGCTTAAACACCTTGGATTGCCAACAGCTTTAGTAAGCTCTTTTCTGGAACAAATATCCAAATCTGCATTGTAGGTAGAGGGGGTACAGCAGACAGTGGAGGAGAGCGCCGACGCGTCGCAAGGAGTACTCCCTAAACCTATACCTGGGTCGCAAGCTGTCGATGGAGCATGTTTTGCCCCCATCGGTTCTCCCCCCATGGATTCTCCGCATCAGTCCGCGGAGAATCCATGGAACGCTTAGAAATATTTCTAGACTAAACTATAAACGATCAAATACTTGTTGTGTGCATTTTCAAACTTTTAATTCTGTTGACTGCGCCAACCGCGTACATTCACCTAACTACTACGTTGTAACGTAACTCTCTAAAGTTGTCACATAATATATGATAACCACACGTATCGAGTCGTAAAATCGATAAGTAACTTTAAGGTACTCATTAATCTTCTTGTTTTATCGTGTGGTAATTCTCATGGGTCATCTCTCTACATATATATAGCAAGGGAATGGGGTAAACCTTGAAAGTCCCTGAGTACCCCGGCAGCTTCATGATTGCGTGCCTTATTCTCCTTTTACTTTAGAGAGGCCCTCTTTGAACACATCCACCACTATCTTAGGACTGCTTCTGCTAGCGTATCGGGCCGCCTCACCGTTAAAAGTATTCATTAAACACCAACCATTGATATTTGTAATCGATAGATGTGATAAAGTAATTGAATTAAATTAATTCAATTAATTATCTTACTTAATTAATTTAATTACCTCCTTTCTAAGGAGAGGCCTATGTCTAGCAAGTAGACCACTGAAGACTGTTGATGACGATGAATTGAATCATGACTTTACTGTAATTAGAAATTAATGGTAAACGATACAAATATTAAGTTTAAAATAACATAATAATATGCCAAAAAATAGGCTGGCCGGGTTAATTGGCTGTTCAACCTGCTTCCAAATCTACCTTTGTGTACAGGAATGTCCTCGATAGGATAGACTTGTAATGCCTTAGCAATAAGACCAAATGATAAAACACCCGCTGATATTAGCGATTTCTAACACACCATAAAAAGAGAGGGTGAGAAGAATGGTAAATTAGTCAATAAATGACATTTGAGGTGCGGAAATGCCCATAACCATTAACGCCAAGCCATTACCATAAATAACATGTTTCAGTCAGATTGAACTTTACGCGTGCACTATACGGGGCAGTTAAAGTACAGAGCCCCATACTACATACAGGTCAATAACTATACTCGTATGTACAGGAGCTTGGTGTGTATATAAATAAATAATAATAAGTGTCACTGTGAACGCAATCACTGTCATTGTAACAGTCGCTGGACAACTTTCGGTATAAGAATTAGGTTCAATCACTGCTGTATACCTGGTTCCCCGGCTATTAGTACCCGAGACATGCCACGGTGGTATCCAAGGGGATTTCCGCACGAAAAAAAAACAAGAAAAAATGTTCAATCACTGCTAAATGTTGTAATAATTCGAATAGACGGATCTTTTAAATATTACTGGCAATTGATGAAAAGGACCTTTAAGTAAGGTCCTTATTTATTATCAAAGAACGCCAAATGAAATTTCAAACGTGTCGCTAAATTCTATTAGGTAAATATAACTATAGTATTCCAATAAAATTAAATTAAATAGACTAAGATACATTTTAGATGAATTTGCTAGAAATTTTATTACTATAAATATAAAAGTTGTTGTTTGAATTTTATCATTTTTGTATTTTCGTTTATCGCGTTTGTAATTTTATCATCTCTCCATTTTTATTTCACTTTTACGTCTAATTTTGTTCTTTTTATGTATACCTCTGTTGTCAATAATTGTTTTAATATTTTTTATGATATTAGTAGTCATTTTGCTGCAAGTGCTATCTAGGTGACAAAGAACAACACACAGAGGTCTATTGGTTGCGATTTATCCTATTGGTTGAACCGATAATGCTTACTTGATTTTCTTTTGTTGGTCTTTTCTTAAAGTTAAGACCTTAACAATTTATCTGAGGTCGGTGAAATGTAAATCATTGCAAAAGGAATCTTTTTTGACTGGCCGTCAGTCTAGTGCCATGGCTTTTTAGTAATGTAATAGCTTGGAGACGAATCAAAGGAAGAAGCCGTATAGTGGTGAGGGGAACGGTTAGGTCGAGGGAGCTATATGTCCCGTGATTGGAGGAGCCACTATGACAAGGAGAGGAACTGGATATTAACTAAACGATAAATGAAGTATTAAGTTCCTTCTTGCTCCCACTATTAGGTTAACAGATATAATTAGACATCATCATCTTCCTACTCTTGTCTTAAATATATTTGGGGTCAAATTACAACTTCTTAACTAGGCATCATTCGCTGATTGTTGCTTCTGAGCATCTCATAGGAGCGTCCAATTCTTCTTACTACAAATTATAATTCATTTTTCATTTACTTATCTTGTTCCTGTCTTGTTCTTAATTTACTTATCACTCTTAGTTACCGAATTCCTTAAGGTATACTGCACAAGACCCTCGCGATATTTAGCGATCATCTTTTAATCATCATTCTCTGTCGTATTTGGAAATTATAAGTTATAAGTGTAAAATTCTTGTTTATAATTAATAAACAAGAATTTTACACTAGCATTAGCGTTGTCCGCTATTAAAAAAAGTACTTTTAAACGAAACGTCACCTAACCTTCATTATTTTAAAGTGTAAGGAGAAGCATCCCGAGAGAGATAATACAAAGTAGGCATTCATACAAAAATACACTCGGCACTGGAGAGCTCAGCGCCATCTAGCCAATATAAGCGGAACTACGTGCTAAAATTCATCATCACTTTCCTTATTTCACGATCTACACTCGATAAAGTTATTTTCGTAGTAAAGTACCTATCACTAGTACTAGCAGATTACCGATTCAACTTTCAGTAACAATACGATATAGGTAATCACATTATACTTAAAGTTGAATGTTCAAGACTATAAAATAGGTATTTTTTATATTTGCAAGATCGAGAGTACACCGGAATTTGTTTGTAAAATATTTTTTTTCAATATTTATGATTATTTTTTTTTAATTTTTAAGGAGGACATTTTCGGATAACGGCTTCTAAAGGTCATAGCTCATTAGAGCCACCCGATATCCGACCAGCACCGCATCACCTCGAGAGGTCAGTATTCTTTGTATGGAGTACTATGGTTATACGCTCACTACATCAACTCCGGATCAC